TTTTTTTTTTTTTTTTTTTTTTTTAAGAGTTACTAGACAGTTAACACCCCATAGGAGGGCAAATAAAGAACAGGACTCCTGGGGAGCTGGTGTCAGACCAGGAGGGAGTGGAAAGGGTGAGGAAATAGCGATGCCCGTCCAAAACGGTGTTACCCATTGTGAAAAGACAGCAGAAACGGCAGTGCCCATGCCGAAACGGTGCTGACCRTGACAGAATGGTGGCATCTACGCAGAAATGTCTGCCTGGAATGGCGGCGCCCACGCCAACACGGCAGCACCCACACCAAAATGGTGGTGCTCGTAGTGAAATGGCGGTGCCCATGCCAACATGGTGGTGCCCACACTGGAATGACGATGTCTACACCGGGATGGTGGTGCCCATGTGGAATTGGTGGTACCTTTGCCAACATGGTGGTGCCCACACTGGAATGGCAGTGTCTGCGCTGCGCTGGCGGTGGCATCTGCTGCAGTAACATGGTGCGTTAGGCTGGAGCTGTGTGGAAATGTGAGGTGAGGAGGTCAGCAGAGCGCGTCCCTCAAAATCAGCCACAGCAGTTTAGAAAGGCAGTGCTGGGAAGAGAAGGTGAGCCAGTCAAGTGGATAGCTCAGAAGGTCGCTAATTATTGAACATTCAAAAAGTCAGTGTAATGCAATTGGGTCTGTAACCCCACCAGTGCACAAGCACCCTAGGCTACTGCTCAGCACTAGGCTATACTCCAGCTCTGGATTAAAAGCAGCCCTCTCTGCGACTCTACCCCATTTTCCAGCCAATCCTGGAAAGAGCGCCATGGAAAAGTGGCAGATTTCYTTTAGATCCCCCAGACACAGAGCTTCCCACACAGAGAAATAAAATAGATAAAGAAGCTCTAAATTCCTGAAAACTAAAGCATTTTTCATTTGCCTAAATATTGCATTAATCAACATTATTTTCTGGATTCAGCTCCTCTTAMTCTATGGATATATTGTGATAGTTTATTTGTATATTGTGATATATTGTGATTATGGATATATTGTGGATAGTTGTGATTTCACTTTCAGAAGTTGTTAAATCTGGTGATTCAGGTGTTAACGTACTTCTATTGAACCTTATCAAGGGTCTTAAATCCTTAAAATGTCATTAAAAGTCCAGTCTATTACACGCTTTTGAAAAAGTAAGATAAAGTATCTGGATGTAACTTGTAGCAAATGGTTTCTCTTGTTGTGTCTAGAACACTAGGGATTATGTTAAATATTATATTGATATATATATATATATGGAGAGAGAGAGAGAGAGAGAGAAAGAGAGAGAGAGAGAGAGAGAGAGTCTGTATTTGAATGGCATAGGGCTTGGCACTATCCTTCTGCCCACTTTGTACAGCTACATTTGAGGATCCTGAAGTTTTCCATATACTTATAATCTTATATATATATATATATATATATATTTATAAAAAACTACAGGCAGCAATTTAGACATTCTCTTTCTCAGCCTCAGTCACTGCAACATATAACATTACTAAATAAATTAATGTTACAGACATGAAAAACTGAAATACCAATGATGAACTTAAGATTCCTTTTCATTACATTCATTTCATTAAACCTGTTTTTGGACTATTTTACTCCTGCAATGTCAAACAACACTATGATTATATGTTTTTTTATTTTAGGATTAAAGTGTAAAGCCACAGGGTATTAAGCTTTGCCACCACTTACGGATATAATGCTATAATGACTCTTCTTTATGGAGAACTGGC